CTATAGGTCTTTATAAAGACCTTGTGCTAGCTGGTTAGTAACGAAGGAGCTCGCATTTGAGGCCAGGAGGGATAAAGTCTCCTGTTAAGGACTTTTCCTTAAAAAAACTTAAAATAAATTCTTGACTTGGTTTTGGGAAGTTTTGTTTTCAATCGTTCAAACTCAAATATCATAAACGGTGCCTCTAATCAAAATTTTGCAGCAGTAACTCTTGTTTCTAAATCAATGGTTAAACCCATCAAAATAAATAAATCTTAAATATATAAAAAATACCCTATATATAGATATATCTACGCCATTTGATGATTTAAAAAATAGGTATCTATTTAATAGTACTGTCCCCAAATTTAGTCGAAAGTGGTTAAAAGTTATGCCAGAAAATCAATTCCAAAAATTAAACTTTAACACCATGTAACTTTTTAAAGAAACGTTTTTTGACCATTGAGATTATATATTTTTCAAGTCCATTTTCTATAGGGAATCTACCCTCAAAGTTTGTAAGAGTATTTTGGTTACACCCTCAATACAAAAAAAAATATATTTTTTTACGACATTACAAATAGCCAGAGGAATCTTTTTCACTAAGTACAATAAGTATTTTCAGTACGTGCTTATTCAATTTTAAGCTTTCGTAAGATACACATAATGCGCTTATAAATTTTATATATTTTTTTATTTTCTAGAATCAAAAATTTGTGGCTGTAGTCCGAACGTTTCAAAATATTAAAAGGACAATTATTGGCATAACTAACTAATAATTAATAATAATATTTTATTTTATGACAAAAATACAAACTCTTTACACAAGAAGAAATGCTATTCTGATGTAAAAATGCCAATAAGGTACATATCTCTTTGAAATTCATATTTACCTTATTACTTTATAAATACATTTTTCAGTATTTGTTTGTACAAAAACAACGCACTACCTGCTTTAAACTAAACTTTCAATACTTCTCCAACTCCTGAACTCGCAAAAGTTTACTCATAAATATTTGCTCATAAACAACATTTGACTTTTCCATTATTTAAAGGTTTATATTTAAGAACGACTTCCGCAGTAAGTATAAAATATGTGACCTTTTCCGTTATTAAGTTCGTTAAACCGTAAAATAAATAAAAAGAAAACGGCCGGTAACATCTGTTGCAGAAATAATAATCAACCTAGACTCATCTAATTTCATTTTATTGGCGTAATGAATTCTAAAGCGGGACCTAGCTACTGAACACGATGGGCAAAAAGCTAATGCAAATAATTAAATAAAAATGTATAACTTGACCACCGCAAAAAAATTTTAAACCCCCTTTTTTCCAATTTTAACTTTAAGCTAACTTCATGAAGCAGCCAGTTGGCAAAATGCTACTTCTCCCACGAGCTGAAGTTGAGAAATGAACAATCAATATTTCGCTCACTATCAGCATCATCAGCAAAATCTTTTTTAAAGTTTATCCTACAATAACCTTGCATTTTTCTTAAAACCACCTTTTTAAAGACTATCATATTTTTAAAACTATTATAATAGTAATACTATAATAGTACTTAATCTAAAGGTTTTTACCAATAATTTTTTTACTTAAAACTTAGAAACCGCCATATTTCTTGATTTAAAAAATTTTTTTAAACAATAAATTAAGTGGATATATAATTATTATTTAGACACTCGCCTTTGGCCCACCGTGCCAAAAACTGCGGTCCTGTAATGAGTCTAGTCTGATGGCAGAAAGCGCAAAATTAAGCCAGGTTCAAGCAACTTCATTTCGAAGTCTAATTAAAAATCATTGTTGGCGAAAGTATTGTTTGAAAATTAATTTCCGAAACTAGCAGCAGATGTGCCAAACTTATTATTATAACGTTTTGTTACTGTTGCCATTTTCCATTACGGCATTAAGGAATTAGTATGATTAAGTGTTTTTATTGCATAATTTAGCGCGAAAATTTTGAGCAGTAAACCAGTCATTAAAGCATGTTACAGTATAGTAAAATGTTTCATGCAAAATCAAAGTAAAAGTTAAAAGTTAATAGCAACTCGTTGTTAACTAAAAAATAGCAAAAAATATTTTATTGAATTTAACATGGGGTAAATTGCTTCAACAAGCTGGCTCTGTAAAAAAAAAACAGACTTGTTTGGTGCGCCTTTGTGCATGTATACCAAGGGATTGTATATTTCCTTACTTAGTAGGCATGACAGTAGTTGTTTATGGTAGGCACAAATTAGCAACCTAACCAATAACAACCTATACAGGGTACAGAGGCGAGAGGTATTCATAGGTACATATAATTACATATATTTTTTTACAACTTTACCTATTACTCATCTGAATCACAATCATTGGACGATATTATATATAATATAGTTAGTAATTAGTATACAGGGTGGCTCAAAAGTTTGAAATATCGAAAATATTAAAAAATGATTTTAATAAAAGTTGTTTAATAGTTTATTTCAAATTTTGCGTTGACATTTCCAATTTAAAGAAAATAAATACGTAGCCCCCCAAGGAGGACAACTTTAAAAAAAATACTAAACCCACTTTTTTACAACATAATTTAAATGAGGCTTTTTTCTGATTACAACTTCTTGCTGAGTTCTTTTTCGGTTACCATACCAACCATAATTAAAATTTAAAATGGTAGATATTTATTTTACTATGAGCACACTATTACATGTACTATGCTCCACACCTCAAACCCCACCACGTGACCACGTACGGAACGCAGTCTTTTGAAAATTTGGCATTTAAGGCTTTTAAGGTTATGTATCTGTCAAAGTATAGTCAACGAAAGAAATAATATTATGTTTAGGCGTTAAAAATGTATAAATCTTTATAACATTAGAATAACAATGGATGGTTTAAGAATTTTAGAATATAAATACTGCATTTAATGAAATTCTTAAGTGTAGGGTGCCAAATAAGTAATATTTTTGTGCATTTAATCCAAATATCTGGTTTTCTCCATAAAATAATTATAACTAAACAGCATTTATTTAAAAAAATCTAGCTTCTCTATTCTGGAATAAGATTATAAGATTATTATAACAATAATATCATCTTATTTTGTAATTTTAAGGTTAGAAAAATTTAGTATTTTAGATTATTTAAAAGACTATAATATGGTATTTAAAAATGTGGTAGTTTTTCTTATCCAGCTTAAAGTATACCTACATAAAGTTTTGTCAATAAAAATAGTTAAAAAGCTTCGACTGAATTTGATCTACATCAAAAAATCATTATAACTTTAAAAATTTTAATAAATCACATGTCATGGGAGTATTAAATATTTTCACATTGCAAGTTTCTCTAAAAATTGTTTGTTTTCTTATAATCTAACTTAAAGTAAGTATGCCGAGAGGTATGCACAAGTTTTGTCGTTTTAATAAATCACAAGTCATGGGAGTATTAAATATTTTCATATTGCAAGTTTCTCTAAAAATTGTTTGTTTACTTATAATCTAACTTAAAGTAAGTATGCCGAGAGGTGTGCACAAGTTTTGTCGTTAGAAGTATAAAAGCTTCAATTTAATTTGAACTATATTCAACAATTATTTAGTATACCTATATTTATTTATGACCATATTAACACACTCTTTCAAATAATTCACTTATTTATTTTGGTCAAAATAGATTTTTCTAACCTTAAAATACAAAATTAGATGATATTTTTTGTTCTAATACATTAACCTACCTTTGATACATATATTCTTATTTCATAATAGAGAAGTTCGATTTTTTTTAATAAAAGCTGTTTAGTTAAAACTATTTTATGAAGAAATGTAGACCCAATGCACAAAAATATCACTTATATTGCACCTTACAATTTGGAATTTCATTAAATGCAGTATTTATATTCCTAAATTCTTAAACCAACCATTGTTATTGTGATACTATAAAGATTTATTAACTTTTAACGCTTAAACATAAGCGGTAACACTATAAATATTATTTCTTTCATTGACTATACTTTGACAGATACATAACCTGAAAAGCCTTAAATGCCAAATTTTCAAAAGACTGCGTTCCGTACGTGGTCACGTGGTGGGACTTTAAGGGTGTGGAGCATAGTACATTGCACTAAATGTCGAATTAAAAATGAATTGCAGGTAAACAATGTGAAGTCTCAAAAAAATATATAACACAAAACTTTTAAACAAATTTAAAATTTTTAAACGTTTAACGCTCAGGCACCTGATATCATTTCTATATCGGTTCAATATTATTAAACCGTTGTAATCAGAAAAATAGCCTCTTTCAAATTGATATAAAAAGGGGAATTTTAATTTAAAAAAAAGTTGGCCTCCGTATATATTTATTTAGGTTGGCAATGTTACAGCAAAGTTTGAAATAAACTATTAAACAACTATTATTAAAAAATCATTTTATAATATTTTCGATATTTCAAAAGTTACACTCAATATTCCAAACTTTTGAGCCATCCTGTATAATTTATTTACTAATAAAGAATGTCTTAATAAATAATATATATTTAATAAAACACGCATCTCATATGGGTTTAATATTAAATATTTCTTTTTCTCAGTGTATCTAAAGGAATTAATTTTATGCTCATTAAATAATTATGGAAACTCTCCGCCATCTTGGTTTTTGTGATTTGGTCGAATTGATCGCGTATATTGCATTTCTTGAAAAAAAGGTTGTAAGAAAATTCGTATGGAATTTAATTCTCTAAAATTATTTATTGATAATAATATGCAAAAAGTGTAAATCATTCCTTTAAATTTTAATCGTAAATTGAAGATAATTAAATTCTTTACAAATTTGTTTCTCCCCTTTTTTAATACGCGTGCAAATCGACTAAAACATAATATTTAAGATGGCGAACACTTCCTATAATAAATTAAACACATGGAAAAATAGAAAAGAATATGGGAGACAACTTTTATACAGATTTTCTTCTGTTACTTTTAAATAAAACCATTTGAATGCTATAATAACGATATAGATAATTATTATAGCCTACTATTTTTTTGCTATTCTTTCAGGTGGTTGATTTGCCGCAAGGCGACCCTGTCATCAGCGGTCTGAAACCCCGCTACAGGGTCGGGGAGACCCTGAAGGCGAACTGCACGTCCGAAGGCTCGAACCCAGCGGCCAACTTGACGTGGTATCTCAACGGGAAACCCGTCGACGCGAAATACGTTCATCGGCACAAACCCCGACTCAACCACGAGGACAACCTTTTAACGTAAGTGAACACCAGCGTTGCCGGAGTTATTTTATCATTGACAAAAAACCAGTACATTTTGTCCACGCCTTTTGTATGTAATTTTAAATGTTTTTTTACCTGATTTGTAAAAGAAATCGCTAATGCAATACAAAAATCTTTAAAAAATAAAACTTGCACGTTCTTTAGTTAGCTGTTTTACCGGCTCATTATACTTTTTACTAGGGCTGGGAATCGATTACGAATAATTCGAATATTCGAGTACCTATTCGAATAGAGGTGAAAATCGATTATAAATTATACTCGAATATTCGAACACTCGAATATTCGAATATTCGAATACTCGAATATTCGAATACTCGAATATTAAAACATTTTAAATCAGTATATGTAAGGGTCGTGGAAAAAAACTTTTTTCAAATTTGTTAATTTGTCATTTTTATTAAAAAAAATTAAGAGCTCTCATCAAAAATAAGGTGGCTTTCGAATTTTGAAAATTACAAAAATATTTAAATTCCAATTTAAAATAATACATTTTTGTGTACAAAAAATTAACGAGTTTTTTTAAATTTTAGCTTAAAAAATTAAATTTTAAAGGTAAAGGTTTAAACTTATAACTAAACTCCGTAAAATTTAATGTCTTTGTTAGCCTTGTAATCATAAGCGACAAATTTTACAGTTTTTAATAAATATCGCTAGAATTTTATCTAGGTGTTAAATATAAACAACGATAAAACTTCTTTGTTTGTAGAGCTTTTAATTTATAATCTTGAATGTTTTATTACAAATTTTAACGTAAGAATAAGCTAGATTTTGATACTATACAGACTTAAATATCTTGAACAATAATGCTCTAGAACCATGAATTTTAAAACAAAATGGGTTATTTTTATAAAGAACAAAAATGACATTTTCTTGAAATTTACAACATAGAACCTTTTTAGTAATTTAATGCTCCAAATAAAATAATTCTATTTACTATTTTTATGAACATCTTTTTTTAATTATTTATCCATGTTAGATTTTGATCTTTTATTTCTTCTAAATCGTACGGTACAGATAAAATCTAATGAAAAAAAACGAGACTAAATTTATTTCTTAAAATATAACAATAAATAAAAAAAATTCCAAGTAATGATTTACTTTTATAATGTTTTTGTATACTTTCATCTTTATAACACTTACAAAAATTTACTTGTGTCACGTTACAATTTGAATTTTTTTTTATATAGTTTTTTAGCACGCACACTAAAAAAGGTTCAAAAAAGGTTCGCCATCCCTGATCTAGGGTGTAAGTAGATTTTGCTTCAGAGTTAAAATTTTAAGAAACCTATTACAAAAGTTCACCGTGGCAAGCAAATTTTAACCATTTTTTGAATTTTCAAAATTATTGTGCGACTATTAATTTGGTTTTAATCAATTGAGATGATTTTTTAAGAAAGCTTTTAATGCATAATAAACTAATATTATTTCATAGGAGACTCAAAAAAATCGTTTTTTTAGCCTAGAGATTTAATAATATCTTTTTATAATAATATTTCTTATTATAATCTGTTTGATAGGCAAAAAACTGATAAAATATTAAATATTATAAGAAGTTTTTATTAAATCTCTAGATTTGCTTAAAAATCTATAAAAATAGTTAAACTTTACTGGACTTGTTAAATATTTTAATATTCCAATATTTAAAAATTCGATTATTTGACTATTCCAATAAGTACTCGATATTCGAATATACGAGTAGGTACTAAAACTAAAAAAATCCCAGCCTTACTTTTTACCTCCATCTACCTCTAAAAAATAAATATTTCACAAACTAAAGGTAATTCTAATGTTACTCTCAACAGTAAAGTTTCGCTTAAAGAGTCTCTTATTTTTTAAGCAGTGCAGTGTGGCAAAAGAGACATGTGACTACGTTATTAAAATTATGATTAAAAATGTGATTACAATAATTGTTTAAATTTTAAATTATTTTACTAATTAATCACTATTTATTGTAAATATAATCGGTACATAATTAAATTAAATTATTGATGATGTTAAAAAATTTTTAGGAGCCGCCACTGGTCATAAGCCTTGGCTGATATCATACACCTGTTATAAAGACAGAAAGAGATTTGCATTCATTTTGCCAGTGCTCTTCTTTTACTCTACATTTTAAAAACACTACCAAAATAAAATACAAAACTTTAATCTCCTAGTTAATGTAAAAAAACAAAGCTATAATATTACTTATTAATTACAAATAACTGTTTAATGCCAACATAATCAATATAAATATTAATAAAACAAACAGTTTATAACAATTAATTAACAGTGTTTCTTTTAGAACGGCAGTTAAACAAAATTAGCAATAAATAAACAACATAGATATCATGAAACTCATGCCATTTAAATTGGATATTGTGTCGAAATGTGACACCGGAATTAATGCTGTATCTTCCAAACGTACCTAATTGAATAATTTTCCACATTATCAATTGCGAAATTGTAACAAAATAAGATCAATTAAAACAACGTGACACGACTGTGCATCCGCATCAAAATTTTCCATTAATAATTTTCATGTTTTAATGAGACCGAAATGTTAAACAGACCAGGATTGTATATATTAATAGGCCGGCGCTAATATTAATTAAACTTAATAAATCAAACAATTTGTATTATTACAGTAATTATTACTAAAGGCTGCATCATGTTAATTGTGTTAATTTAGGCATGTTTTACATTTAAATTTAATATTGTTTTCAATGCAATTTATTTGTCGAAGTTAGTTCAAAATATACTGTGTGTCATTACAAAAAAAATTATAACCTAAACGTCATGATTAATTTTACATGTAAAATATTTTTTCTACTACCACCTTTAAAACGCCCTTTATCGTACATGTTTCCATGTCATTAAGTGACCTTTTAAATACACATTGACAAGTTGTGGCTTTATGGCGCTTTAGTCACGGGCTAAACTTAGCAACAGGTTTTTAGTCACGGGCTGAAGTTAGTTTTAAATTAGTTGACAGTTGTCAAATGTCATACAATCTTTAAAATAAATTGCCTTTCTTAATAATACTAAATGTGAAAATTATTTTATTATCTCAATACAAAAATACAAAAGTATTGAATAGTTTCTCAAAGCCGATATTTGAAAAGTTTATATGAACATTGTACTGACCTTATAACTTAAATTCGGACACGGACTCCACTGCAAAGTGCTCATAAAACATTTTCTTTACTTTCACTGTAAAAAACTGTCAATTTTCAAGAAATACATTTCGATTTATAACCTTTATAATCTGTTTATAAAATAAAAAAAATTGACATTTGACGGTGACACACATATTTCCTTATTGTTTCATAGATGGCGCTTTATACAAATTTTTAATTTAAATCATTTTAAGATAATAATAAGTATTTGTCGTAGAAAAAGTATAGTATGCACCTCGTTTAAGTATAAACTTTTCTATACACTCATTAATTTAAATAAAATTCGTGTATAAAATGGCGTTTATCAAACTTGATACATTATACTATTATATATTACTAGATAGAAGAGCCAGCAAGGGAAAATTATATTAGGTAATAATATATTTTTTACAAGTTTGGTTAATGTTTTTTTATTTTATAATTATTAGTAACAGTTAGCTTTTTAAATTATAGTAATTCGGTTTTTAGTTCTACAAGTTTAGTAAATTAAGATTTATAAATAAGTTATTGGGTTTATTCCCAAGGTTTAGAAATAATATGGTAATAATAAGCAAATAGTTAATAACAATAATATTATATCAACTCAGTATAATAACTGGCCTCGGTTCGTAGTCCCACCATAAGGAAGTTCCTTAAAGGAACTATATCTATAAAGTATTTTCTATTTAAATAATTTATCTTTAATTATAGTAGTGTTACACATTTTTGTAATTTTGAATTATATTCTAAAATCAATTTGTTATACGCTAAAGAAGCATCGCAGTAGCGCCTCCACGTGGCTGTTATCATCGTATACGATGTGTTTTGTTATAACAAAACACAACTTTTAATAATCAGCTGTTAAAGGCGTATGTTACAAACGAGTATTTTTGAGAATAAGGTCGGAAAATATTAAAAATTTCCTGAGAAAAAAACGAGGAACGATTTGTTGTGTTGTTGGGGTTGAGTTTATTCTTGTAATGATAAGGTATCTGTAAAAGTTTCTATTTCCTCCTCTATACGAGGTGTGTTCAGAAAATAAGGGGAATGGTTAAATTTCGCGGATTCGGAGGGTCCGGTTGTCATAAAATTATCTTTATTATGTAGGTATACATGCCCCCGAAGTATGATAAAAAATTTAGCTGTTTTCATTGTTTACTTTGTCTGTGGCAGCCGCTAAGGTTAGACGTGTTTTATGAGTTCGGCAATTTTTAGTTCGTTAAAAGAAATGGATCAAAGAATTTGTATCCAATTTTGCTTAAAAAATGAAATAAATTCTGTGAAATATTAACAAAGGCCTATAGTGAGTCTGCTATAAGTAAAACAAGAGTTTACAAGTGGTATAAGAGTTTCCAAGATGGCCGTGAAGACGTTGAAGATGACGAACGCCCCGAACGCACAAGCACATGTGCTGATGCATCTACAACCGATAAAAACATGGAAAAAGTGGAAGAAATGGTTATAAACCATCAGAGAAGTCGCTGATGATGTTGGTATATCGATTGGCTCATCCCATGAATTTTTTTTTGAATGTTTTGGGTATGAAACGCGAGGCAGCAAAATTTGTTCTAAAATTGTTAAATTTTGAACAAAATTTTTGGTCAAAAACAATACTGTAATGATGCCCCAGCCTCCAAATTCACCAGACATGCCTCTGTCTGACTTTTTCCTATTCCCAAAAATAAAGAGAACCTTAAAGGGCCGTCGTTTTGCAAGCATAGATAACATTAAAAGCGCATCGCTGAAAGAACTAAAGGCTATCCCAAAGATCGAGTATTAGAAGTGTTTCGAGTATTGGAAGAAGAGCTGGCACATGTGCATAATATCCAATGGGGACTA